GTATCTTTCGCTGCACTGACTTCTTATGTGAGTGTCCCGCTTAACAAATTTTTACTTAATTATTCGCGTCTCTTATCATAATTTTATACTGTGTTCAGTTGCCATTAAGACGGTCGGGTGACATAAAGATTCGCGAATGCAGGGACATCACGGATGTTCACCTTGTTCTTGCGGCGGAGGAGACGACCGACAATATACATTTGACGAATACCTGAGGTGTTTGACTTTTTACATGTTGCGACGGTTGCAAATTTTCAGTCCCTTTAGTGTGATTTGATTCGTTAAAGTTTATGAAGCGATTAAATTGGAATTATGCGGTTTGTTCTAAAGAAAACCAAGTAAGGCTCGAAACGTCAACGTAGTTTTTTTATATTGCGAACACATTTGTTGTTAAATTGATTTTAATAAATATACACCTATTAATAGCTCGTAATTTGGCCGTTTCTATTATTTATTCATTGGAATACTTTCTGGCGCGAAGTTATTTATGACCACGTGGCCAGCCTATGATTACTGATTATTTGAGAAACCGGTTTTAAAATGTTTCTAATGTCTGTCTGTCTGTTTGACTGCGAACTACTCATTCATTAATGGATCGATTTTCTAGAAACCGGTGCCGAAAGTCTAATTTTTCGGGGATGGTGTCTGTTGAGAATTGAATAAGTGCGAACTAAATATTCGCGAAGGGAATATTCGAAGAGAAAGCGAGCCTTGTTCGAGAACGCTCAATTTGCTCCAAACCGCGAGTATTTACGTTCCCCCCCTTTTTTTGTGTTTTCTCGAGCAAACGGCTCGCAGGTGTACATCGCGTGATCGCACGCACCGCGCCCAATAGTCTGTTCGCTAGACGATTTGGAGCCAATCAGTGTATCTCCCGTCACGAAATTCCTCGCGGCCTTACGCGAAGCTCCGGCCGCAATCCCTTGCCTGCTCCTGCCGGGACGGACAGTGAGCCATCACAATTCGTACGCGACACTCGTGTTTGTCGATATCGAAAACGGAGTCGAATCATAGCGAATACGAATTTGTGTAATCGCGAGTGCGATATTGTAACCAACTGTAAATAAATTGACTCTTGTTACATTATCAAAAGAAGCGGACTATTTTTTGTGCTTTCCTCGGCGCGGCGCGCGAAAACCTCGAGCGGTCCATTTAATGGTCCTTCAAGCCGGATTGTGATAAATAAAAGACCGGCATAGACAGTTCGACCGCCTCAATAGTGATCGCGTTGTGCTGCTCCGAGACAGACGGACCGTCGACTCGCTCGCAAACGGAGTTCGCCGTTCGAACCGTCGCACATTGAATGTGATCGGACAGGTATTCCCGGTTCATCGGGTACTCCGCGATACGCGTGTTTCCGTGGCTCACTCAGTACATTGAGCGCTCTGCACCCGCTCTCCTAAATATTGGTGCTCTGTGAAATTGTGAAGTGCTTCGGAGGCTCCGGCGCGACTTCCAGCAACTGTATCGTGCTCATTGCGATACGCATCCGCCGCCCGACGGGCGCCTTGCTTTGCGACGTGCTGTACGCCCCTGCCTCCCGCGAGTATCGCCCTGCTGCTCGCTGCGGAAACGCATGAGAGCGTCTTCGCTCTTCCTGTTCGACCACATGAGCGCTCTGCACCTGCTCGCTTAAAGATCGGTGTCCCCTGTGAAGAAAAGGCCCGGTGCTACCCGGCTTCGCCCTGCTCCGGAGGCTCCTGCGTGATCTCCACCAAACGTATCGTGCTGAGATACGCTCACCGCGCGCCGCCCGACCGGCGCTCTGCTTTGAGACGTGCCAGACGTCCCTGCCTCCCGCGAGTATCGCCCTGCTGCTCGCCGCGGAGTCGCACAAGAGCGTCTTCGCTCTTCGATCCGATTGACACACAGGTATCAGATCGTTGTCTACGAGATCCAGACATTCTAACATGTCTCGGGATCTCACTAACCTGCTCATCGCCCAAGGCGAGGCGATTGCTACGCTCAAGCGATCGCTGATCAACTTCAAGAAACTTCCAAAGGCTCAGGTCACTCTCCTTAAGACGAAGGGGAGACTGACGAATTTGGAGGGGCTCTGGAAGGAAGTTCAAGCCCTCCACGTCCAGATTCTACAAACGGCTACAGCGGAGGAGAAGTCGACCCCCTACTTTCAACAAGAGGAATTTCTCGCCGCAGAGGAAGCCTACTTCGACGCGGCAGACCACCTCCACGAGGTCATCGGTAAATTAGGTAACGACGCTCCGAGCGCGTCGGATCGAGGTAACGAGTCATCTTATCGTGACGCGCCCTTCGGAATGTCAATGCATTTGCTTCGTATCTCGCTTCCGAACTTTTCGGGTGCTTTCCCAGAATGGGAATATTTTCGCGAAATTTTCGAGTTCCTCGTAGACAAGAATGAATCCCTCACGAAAACTCAAAAGTTGCATTACTTGAAAGCGAGCCTATCCGGCGAGGCTTCGTTGCTGATTAACAATCTTAAAGTTTCTGACGCGAACTACGAGGCAGCGTGGCAAGTTCTCGTTGACGAGTACGACAACCGTGCCGCGATTATTCCCGCGTTATTCACGCGTTCGCTGACTTGCCGCATATGAAAACCAAAAACGCTAACGAATTGAAACGACTTCGAGACAATGTATCCGCTTCTCTCGCCGCTTTAAAGAATCTCGATCGTCCCGTCGATGCGTGGGACGACCTCTTGGTGTACATTATATCGCAGAAATTTAGCCCGAGAACGCGAACCGAATGAAATCTAACACGAGGCAACACGGATGCCTACCCTACGTATAAAAAAATTCACGATTTCATGACCCGGCGCATTCCCGGTCTCGCGGATTAGTCCTCCGCTCTTTCCACTCCTTCATCGGAAAGGATCAATTAATTTGGCTGGGCGGGCGGCTCTAGACCATCATCGGCCGACCGCTCACTCGCGTGCCGAAAGAATCATTCAAAACCAATGCGAAGCCTCCGTCAGTTGCTTGCGTCTACCGACCCGCCCGCGACGGGAGAATCCTGTTCAAATTACGCTATCGTTTGTTCCTCATCAGATTTAAGGATATTGTACAAACATAGGTTAAGCTAATAAAGGTATATAAGGACCTAGATCATAAGATGCCACCCTTCTCCTCGTGCGCTCATGCTACATCGTTAACCCCCGTTTTGTTTCGCATTATAATGCAAGGCGGGCGGTATGTTGAGAATTGAATAAGTGCGAACTGAATATTCGCGAAGGGAATATTTGAAGAGAAAGCGAGCCTTGTTCGAGAACGCTCGATTTGCTCCAAACCGCGAGTATTTACGTTCCCCCCTTTTTTTGTGTTTTCTTGAGCAAACGGCTCGCAGGTGTATGTACATCGCGTGATCGCACGCACCGCGCCCAATAGTCTGTTCGCTAGACGATTTGGAGCCAATCAGCGGATCTCACGTCACGAAATTCCTCGCGGCCTTACGCGAAGCTCCGGCCGCGATCCCTTGCCTGCTCCTGCCGGGACGGACAGTGAGCCATCACAATTCGTACGCGACACTTGTGTTTGTCGATATCGAAAACGGAGTCGAATCGTAGCGAATACGAATTTGTGTAATCGCGAGTGCGATATTGTAACCAACTTTAAATAAATTGACTCTTGTTAGATTATCAAAAGAAGCGGACTATTTTTTGTGCTTTCCTCGGCGCGGCGCGCGAAAACCTCGAGCCACTCAACAGTGTCGATGGATTTAATTTTTCATTAATGGACCGATTTTCTTGAAAAACTGTATAATATGTATGTTTGTCCGCTATGCAAATGTACAGTTTTTAACCGAATCTTAAAGAATTATATATGAAACAGGAGTAGAATTTTCTGGGGATAGCAATGTGTATTTTTTGTTAGCAATTTTTTGAAAACCGGTTCCGAAATTTTTCGGGAAATATACATAATTTTTAGGGTCGTTTAAAAAAAAAAGTTTGACCACGAACTATTCATTCGTTAATGGACCGAATCTTAAAGAATTATATATGAAACAGGGGTAGAATTTTCTGGGGATGGCAATGATTATTGAAGTGAAACTTCTTTAGGCACGGTAGTAAGTTCGATTCGCGACACGAAAAAGTGTAACGGAAGTGAAACTTCTTTGGTACGGTAGTAAGTTCGATTGTGCGACACGAAAAGTGTAACGAAAATTTGACCAATAGGCGTACGGCGTTGGCGAGA